GAACCTATTCAGTAAATGGTTCTGGGAAAATTGGATGACAATATGCAGAAGATTGAAACAGGATTCCTACCTATCACCATACACAAAAATTAACTCTAAATGGATCAAAAGCCTAAATGTAAAACCTCAAACTATAAGAATCATAGAAAATGCAGGAGATACCCTTATGGAAATTGGAACTGGCAACCAATTCCTGATCAAAACTCTAAGCCGTGCCGTAAGAGGTAAGATAGACAAGTGGGACCTCATCAAACTGACAAGCTTCTGAAAAGCAAAAGAAACCATCAAGAGAGCAGGGAGACAGCCCACAGAATGGGAAAAAATATTTGCCAACTGTATATCTGACAAAGGCCTAACATCTAGGATCTACAAGGAATTCAAACACGCCGAAAGGAAAAAAACAAACAGCCCATTAAAAAGTGGGCAAAAGACATGAATAGACACTTCTCAAAAGAAGATATACGAGCATCCAACAGACACATGAAAAAGTGCTCAGCCTCACTAATCATCAGAGAAATGCAAATCAAAACCATATTGAGATACCACCTACCTCCAGTAAGAATGGCCATCATTAATAAAACAAACAATAGATGCTGGTGAGGATGCAGAGAAAAAGGAACGTTTCTACACTGCTGATGGGAATGCAAACCAGAGCAACCTCTTTGGAAGACAGTGTGGCCATTTCTGAAAGAACTAGAAATTGACCTTCCATATGACCCAGCAATCCCCCTATTTGAATATACTCAGAGGAACTCAAATCATTCTACAAAAAAGATACCTACTCACACATGTTTGTTGCAGTTCTATTCACAATAGCAAAAACATGGAACCAACCATGCTGCCTGCCCATCAAAGCTGGACTGGATTTTTTTAAACGTGGTACATATACACAATGGAATATTATGTAGACATAAAGAAGGACAAACATATGGACTTAACAGCAACTTGGATGGATTTAGAGTCGATCATACTCAGTGATCTATCACAGAAACAAAGAACAGAGTACCATATGTTCTCATTCATAAGCGGACTTTGAACAATTATTATAATACTATAAGAAAAGGATTGGCAGTAATGGGACGCTGCCAGGGGAGTGGGTGTGGGACTGGTAGTTGAGGGAAACTGCCAGGGGAGCGCGGGGCACACCTCATCAACAAGGGTACCTGCATAATGAACATTTGTATACCTAACCCTGAATTGTACCCCACATCTTTAAAATAAATTTTAAAAAAGAAAGAAGAAACATTACAACTTTTATTTACAAAAATAAAAGGGATCACGAGAGATTATGGTAAGTAGTTATATGCCAACAGATTGAATACCTTGGAAGAAGTGGATAAATTCCTAGAGATATGCAATCTACCAAGCCTGAATAACAAAGAGGCAGAACACGCTAATAACAAGGAGGTTGAATCAGTAATCAAAAACCTCCCAACAGAAAATCCCATAACTGGATGGCTTCACCAGTGAATATTACAAAATATATTTAAAGAACGAACACTAGTCCTTCTTAAACTCTTCCCAAAATTGAAGAAGAAAGAGCACTTCCAAACTCATTGTATGAGGCCCATATTACTCTGATGCCAAAGCCAGACAAAGGTACTACAAGAAAAAAAAATTACTGGGCAATATCCCTGATGAACATAAAAGCAAAAATCTTCAACTGAATACTAGCAAATAGAATCCAACATCACATGAAAAGAATTATATACCAAGACCAAGAGGGATTTATTCCTAGGATGCAAGGATCACTTAACATATGCAAATCAATCAGTGTGCAATACCAGATTAACAGAATGAATGATCAAAACTGCATTATCATCACAATAGATATAGAAAAAGCAAATGGTCAACTGATTTTAAACAAGGGCACCAAAACGAATCATTGAGAAAAGAATAATCTTCGCAGTAAATGTGCTGGTTAGTACTGGATATACACATACCAAAATAATAATAATAATAATAATAATAAAAGTTAAACCTCTACATAACACCATATGCAAAAATTAACTCATAATGGATTAAATACCTAAATATAAGAGCTAAAACTTTTACAAGGAGACCAGATATGGTGGCTCACACCTGTCATCCCAGCACTTTTGGGAGGCAAAACCTAAGTCTTGGAGTTCAAGACCAGCCTAAGCAACATAGTAAGACTTTGTCTCTACAAAAAAAAATCAAAAAAATTAGCCAGAGGTGGTGGTACGTTCCTGTAGTCCCAGCTGCTCAGGAGACCAAGGCAGAAGGATCACCTGATCCCAGGAGTTTGAGGCTGCAGTAAGCTGTGATAGTGCCACTGCATTTCAGCCTGGGCAACAGAGTGAGACCCCAATTCAAATACATACATACATACAAAAAACTCTTAGAAGAAAATACAGAAGTAAATCTTCATGACCTTGGATTAGTAATGGTTTCTTAGGTATAACACCGAAAGCACAAGTGACTAAAGAAGAAACAAATTGGATTTTATCAAAATTAAAATATTTGGTGCTTCAAAACAAAATTAAGAAAATGAAAAGACAACTCATAATATGGGGCAGAATATTTGCAAATCATACAAGGTCTGAAAATTAAGTTCACGAACTTATCCTAGAAAAAGTACTACATACCTCATTGCTGAATATCACTACAGTCACCTTTGAAGTACTCCCCTTGGGAAGCTATGCTCTGATGCCAGCATCTAGTCTACCTGTCAAAGCAATTTTGGAATTCTTTTTCTGGAATGGCCCTCAGAGCTGTTGTTATATTACCCTTGTTGTCCTGAATGTCATCAAAATGTTGTCCTTTCAATATTTACTTTATCTTCAGGTAAGGAAAAAGTCATTGGGGGCCAGATCAGGTGAGTAGGGAGGTTAGGGTGTTCCAATACTCCCTTACAGACAGTGCTGTGTGAGCTGGTGCACTGTCATGATGCAAGAGCTCCTTTGGGACCATTTTTGCACACACCTTTCTCATACCAAGATTTTCCTGTTTCTCTATCAATGCTTATTTGGTCTGCTTTGCTTCTCATAGTCATCCAACGGTTTTGATACACAATTTGATGAATTTTTGCAATGTTTTTGTCACTGGGCATCCTGACCTCTCTTCATCAGAGTTGCTTTCTCTCCCCTCAGAAAAATGTTTAGACCATTTGTACACTGCTGTTTTCTTCATGACATTATCCCCATAAACTTGGACTAACACGTCCCTGATTTCACTTCCACTCTTGCCAAGTTTAACAAGAAATTTAATGTTTGTTCATTGCTCTAATTCAAGCTCTGATATTCTCGTGACAGCACACAAAATTATGCAACAACAATAATGAACACCACTCAGCAAGACACCACCACACAAACACAACTGTGAGACACTGATATACCAAGGTTATGAAACCTTACCAAATTGTTTGTATAGTGCTGCCAACTTAAGCACATGTGGCAAGTTCACAAACTTAATTGTCACACCTTGTGTATTTGATAAGGAGCTTCTATCCAGAATATATAAAGAACTTCTGCAACTCAGTGACAAAAAGACACCCTAGTTTTATTTTATTTTATTTTTGGAGTTGGAGTCTCACTCTGTTGCCCAGGCTGGCGTGCTCACGGCCACCGCAGCCATGACCTGCTGGGCTCAGGCGGTCCTTCCACCTCAGCCTTCCAAGTAGTTAGAAGTACAGGCACGCACTACAATGCCCAGCTATTTTTTGATTTATTGAAGAGATGGTTTATTGTCTCACCATGTTGCACAGGCTAGTCTCGAACCCCTGGACTCAGGCAGTCCTCTCGTCTCTGCCTCCCAAAGTGCTGGAATTACAGACTTGAGCCACCATGCTCAGCCAACACCCCAATTTTAAAATGGGCAAAGAATCTGAATAGACATTTCTTCAAAGAAATGTCTCTACAAAAAATTTTTAGAAAGGTAGTTCAAGATCAGAGTAGGAGTCTGTAGCCTAGGGTAGAATCTTTGTGGACCAAGGAAGGAAGTTTCTTTCTAATCTTGGAAACCATGAGCCAAGGAGTACCTTAGAGGGCGAGAAGAGCTTTAAAGTAGACATTCAATACAACTCAGAGGCCGTGGCATTGCTAGGGCCCACTCTTCAAGGGGACAAATTCTGTAAAGGTATTACCTAAGGATTACTTGAAGCATTAAGGGTAGAAGGCAGTGTCAACCTTCAGACTAATCTCTAGATTGCTTGGCATAATATACAGGTTTAAGAGAACTGCAAAGCACATATTCCATATCATCCAAATAATTATGGTATCTTCTCTTCCAGAAATATCTCTATGTCCTACTTTCTCTGACTTCCATCCTCTTCTGTGCACCTCCAACACCTTATGCTTACTTGTATCATTGCCTTTACATTAGATTAAAATTTTCTTTTTTATTTGTCTCTGGTAACCCTAGGACCTAGCCCAGGGCCTGACCCTTGCCAAGAACTCAATGCTTGTAAATGCTTGTTGAACCAAGGAAGAATTGAAGAGACTACAGGAAGATTTTATTCAGGACAGAAAGATCTATTGAATACATATATATAACATTTTTATAACATAGTAACAGGCTCTATGTTTTAACAACTCTATGTTTTGATTTGATGATTTTGTCATGGATTGTACTTATCAGGCTCACTTCTACTACACTACAGTCCCTTGATGTCAAAGACTCTGACTTACTCCTCTTTATATCCCTCCATAGGGTCCAGTACACTGGCTTCTGTGCAGTAGATACTCAATAATGATTTACTAATTAAACTTCGTTAAGCCTAGGAAAAGCTGGTTTCGAAAGAGCCTCAGATATCTTAAGACAAGGTACTGAAATTGACTTATGAAGAGCGTTTGGCTTCTGCATTTGGAGGTAAAATTGGTGCAGACCATCTTGCTGTCTGTGGACACATAATCTAGAAGCAGTAATGGTGGAGAATACTTGTCCTGTTGCCTTCAGAAAGTCTGAAACCTTGCGGATGTTCATTTTTATTGTATTTCTTGATTCTTTGGATAAAGAGACAAAATCCCATATTTAGACAGATGCCTCAGCAGGAAAGTATGGGGATCTAGTGAAGTCTTCACTGGCAGTCCACTTCACTCCCAGTCTGATCTGCAGAGGGGCTTCCATCTCATCATTTATGCCCTCCTTTTTTTAAAGGACAAATCAGATGTCTGCAAGCCAACAACAGACAATTCAACTCTATTGGATATCCGGTGAGTATCATGCCTCTGGCTATTTCAGAAGGGAGCTGGTATTCTCCTGTAATAGCCCCCTTTGTTGGGGGAGCAGGAAATATATTGTAGATGTAGATTCTACCACAGGGATTCTACTTTCTTTCAAGCTCTTATACAATAAATGGTGCAGTGAGGACTTAGAAACCAAAATTAATCCAGGGATCTAAACTCAGGAGAGAATATGTCCCAGATTTTGGGTTTATATATTACTCTCAGAAAATAAATGCGATAGTGTTTTCTTGCACAAATGACACATAGTTCCACAATTTTGTTTTCCACTGGGACATCTTATGACAATACATATAGATTTTCCTCATTCATTTAATAGAGGCATTGTTTTCCATTGTATTGATAAACCTTAATTTATTTAATCAGTCTCCTACTGATGGGCATTTAAAATGTCTCCAGTGTTTCGCTATGATAAATGGTCCTGAGTGAACACCATATTTTTGACACATTTGTTTGAATACCTGTATGTCTTATTAGAGTTTCCTAGGAGTGAATTAGCTGAGCCAAAAGGAAATCTCACTAAAAATTAAAAATTTTTAGAGGCCGGATGGCCCCCTAAAAGGATTATGTCCATTTGTATTTCTACTTATAGTAGAGACTGTTCTTTTCTCCACATTCCTACCAAACTGGTTGTTATCAATCTTTTTCACCTCTGCCAGTTCTTAGATGAAAACAACATTTTTTGGTTTTGTTTTGTTTTGTTGTTTTTTGGGGGCGTTTTTTGAGTTGGAGTCTCACTCTGTTGCTCAGACTGGAGTGCAATGGCCGCTCCTGGCCACCGCAGCCTCAGCCTGCTGGGCTCCGGCCATCCTTCCGCCTCAGCCTTCCAAGTAGCCAGAATTACAGGCACGTGCTACCACACCCGGCTAATTTTTTGGTTTATTGTAGAGATAAGGTCTCGCGGGCTCAGGCAATCCACTCTCAGCCTCCCAAAGGCACGGGATTACAGGCTGAGCCACTGAGCCCAGCTGAAAACAACATTTTTATCTATCCTTAATTTTGAGTGAGATTGATAATCTTTTTATGTTAATTTGCCTTTTGTATTTCTTTTTCTGGAAACTACCTATTAATAATCTCTGCTCATTCTCTATTGGATTGTTCGATTTTCACTTATCTATGTATTTATGACTAAGTGACTCATAAAAAGATATATATATTGAAAAGTTATACTTCAACACCCCATCTTTACTGCCTTTAGTATTTTATTAGTTTTTGTGTATTTATCAGAACTGCTTTGTGCAAATAAAGCAAATACAAATCTATATTCTTATTTTCCCACATTTGCACACTATTTTGAGCCTTAACAATATGTCCTGGAGATGTTTTCATAATCATGATTTTATAATAGGTTTTCCCTTTTTTTCTTTTTCAGCTACATAGTATTTCCTCTGCAGATTTAGCATATTTAACCAGTTCCTTATAAATGGACATTTGGGTTGTTTTCAATCTTTTATGTTTACAAGCAATGCTTTTATACATGTTATTTCATGCATGTGCAGCTATGTGTATATATTCATATACTTATAGCTACATATGTAGCTATATATACACATAGCCACGTGTTTTTAGTGACTGTGGGATATTAGTTTATGATTTCCAGGTGAGAGTGATTCTGGATCATAATAATGTGCAAGGTATGGCCATGGAAGCAGGCTTTTTCCTTCCCTAGCTATTAAAACTGCATAAGAAGCAGTGGGGTGCAATAAAACTAGTTTTGGTATCAGATCTGGGTTTAAATAAAACTCTCTCCCTTACTAACCTTGATATCTTAGGCAAGTTATTTAATTTCTCTGATCTTCTTTGTTTTCATCTGTAAAATGGGCATAATAATGTTCACCTTGCATGGTGGTCATAGGAGTTAAATATAGTTGTGAAAATGTTAGTTTTCTTTCTCAAAGAAACTATTACCCCTTGTTTAAGAAAAAAAAAGTACCTGTCTCATTCATCTCCATAGCTACAGTCTCTGTCACAATGTTTGGCACATACCTGGCATTCAATAACTCATGCTGAATATTTAATAAATAAATAAACAGATTTTACTGATTCTTATGTATTTAAAATCATTTCATTGTCCAGGCCCTGCACATTGCTCATTTTTCTTCTGTTTCTCTAATTTCTTCCACTCTGACTCCTGTTCCTCTTCCCAACTCTCTTCAAGTCCTTCAGTTCTCTTCTATTTTGCTATTTAACCTTCAGTCCTATGTTACTGCCCAGAGAAATAAATAACCAAACCAAATCCACCACCTCTATCATACTTAAATTGTATCAGCTCTACCAAAAGAACAAACTGAGAGACTGAGGTGAGCGGATTGCCTGAGCCCGTGGGTTCGAGACCCGCCTGGGCAGCAAGACCTCATCTCTATAATAAACCAAAAAATCAGCCGGGCGTGGTAGCGCATGCCTGTAATTCCGGCTACCTGGAAGGCTGAGGCCGAAGGATCGCTGGAGCCCAGCAGGTCGAGGCTGCGGTGGCCAGGAGCGGCCCCTGCACTCCAGTCTGGGCGACAGAGTGAGACTCCAACTCGAAAACAAAAACAAACAAACAAAAAGAACAAGCTGAGGGGGTTTACAGTTAAGCAAGTTTTCTACATTCTTCTTTTTTTTTGAGTTGGAGTCTCACTCTGTCCCCCAGACTGGAGTGCAGTGACTG